AAAAGTTAAAGTTAACTTACTTATAGTTCGTGTACGAGAAGTAGTATACTGCTCTACTAGTAGTTAGTTAGTAGTAGTAGTATATATAGTAAGTATATATATATATATATATATATATATATATATATCTGTGTGTGTATAATTTTGTGGGTGATTTGATGGTGAAAATTTACCCATCTTGAATGTGAAAACTGCTGTATTGAAACTAGCAGATACCATTCAGAAAGCATTTTGAATGCAAGTATTGTATGTACAACATAATTTCATAGAAAATCAGTTACATTCTATACACACATATATATACATATTCAGGATATTTGTATGTTATGTACTTCAAGTATAGTGTTTTTAGTTGTGTGTCGTTTAAAGATAACTTTGGATAAGAAGTGCTTTATTTTCTGAGAAAAGCATTCAATAAACTGCTTTCAATTTTCTTATTGCCATAAATTTCTGTTAACTTGTAGTAAAAGGTTGATGGATGTTATAATATTTTATCATTATATAGTACTTGGTATTTTCATAAATACTATTACACCAGTTTAAAAAACAACAACATGATATTAACATAGCCCACATTTTTGAAGGTTTGATTTACAACACACTCACCTCCTCATTTTCTTCCAAAATATAAATAATTCATACAAAATTTTATCCATATTAAATAACGGGTTGCATAAGTTAGTTGAAATTTTACCTTTTAATTCGTGCAATATCTGAATATTTTAGAATGTTTCAAAATATTATAAATGTTCCAAAGTTGAATTCTAGCACTGCAGAGGCTTCAACTTCTGCTGTAGCACATTTGCTGGAAAAGTGGAGGAGCCCCCCAGTGGCACAGCAGTATGTCTGCAGATTTACAACGCTAGAAACCGGGTTTCTATACCCGTGGTGGGCAGAGCACAGATAATCCATTGTGTAGCTTTGTACTTAATTACAAACAAACAAACCCGTGGTGGGCAGAGCACAGATAATCCATTGTGTAGCCTTGTACTTATCTTCAAAACAAACAAACAAGACTGGTGAGTCATTGATCATGTAAAGGCAGTTTGCTTTGACACAACGGGCAAGCAACACTAATAAAAGAAATCGAGCATGTGTGGTGTTATAACAAAGGTTAAACAAGAATATTCTGTATTTCGTATGCCTGCATCTTATCTTAGAACTTGCCCTCTCCTGTTTTCAAAGACATTATTAGGCTTTTCTCTGGTCCAGATATTGAAATTTTCAATCAGTTCCAGCAATATTAAGAATACCTGAACCAGTCCATTTAAGAAACTGCAGCTGACCAGGATGAAGTAGCAGAAGCCGTAGATGAAGATAAGGACAGTGTCTTTAAGTCGTACACTCAATCCTATTTTGGCCTCTCCTCCTTTTTTCACACATAAGGTGTTTTTTTATTAGGTAAATATACACTGGTGACTTGATTATCCTCGCTGATTCGAGGAAAGCAAAAAATCGCGGACAACAGCGGATAATCAAGGCAGTAGTGTATCTCACTAGTTAGCCCATTGTATAATCTAAATAAAAAATTCAATGTATTTAAGTTCATTGTTTTAAAATTATAATATTTTATTGTCGTTTAATCACATTTTCATGAAAGATTATAAAAATCATCCTAATCATAAAATATTAAGTGTCAGTCACACTCGTTTTTTCCGAATTTCATGAGTTATACAAGTCCAATTCCACATTGTTTCCTATAATATTTCCTGTTTTTAGATAAATTTAATCGCTTACATAGTTGTAAGTTGTTCCTAAATTTGGCACTCTTTCTGCTATAGACATGGAAGTGGATTCGCACCTTATTAGCGCTTGTGAAAAATGTCAAAACTTAGGGCAAATCTACGCTTGGAAATTATGACGAAAAATAGTTTGTTAAAATAGACTGAAGATACCAATTATCTGTAGGGAAAAGGACAATGAGTAAGTGGGCGACAACACAACCTGAACATGCATCTATGGTTAAAGGACTTCAGCTGAAGTTGAGTGAAATCTTTAAAAAATCTTAATGTTTTTTGTATACTATGTTTTTTAATCAAAAATATGTATTCCTGTCTTAACAGTTAAAAATATAAGAGGCAAGGCTTAGGCTTGAACCAACCAACTTACGATTTGAGCACACTCCAGATTATGCACGCGAAAACTCTAGATATTATCCACCACCTGAACTTTTGTAGCCAAAATTAATTTCTGAGCAACAATTTCTCCAAAATTTTTAAATTATTGTCTAGAATTGTAATAGCACAATTATTTTGGGGAAAAGAAAAAAACCGCGGATAATCTAGGCACTAGTGTAGCCCCCACTGCCTGGTACACACATTAGTGGAGTTAGGTTAGGTACGCCTGTCTGTTCCTAGATCTGAAAATATTTGTCGATGCCTGTGTTATTGATATGATAGGCATCTATGGTGTCTCAATGAGGAACTCATTGTTTTGGGATTCTTTGATTCAGCTGTATCCACAGAGACAAAACGAGAAATGGTAAAGTCACTAAATGAGAAGGAAGGCGTGGATGAACCTCCAAAGTGCATCCAGTTGAACATCAGGAAGATTGAGAACATGTCAACTGAAGATTTTGTCACAAAGAATATAACACACTTCTTCAGGTGCCTCAAAACTCCATCTGTATTTCTGGGATTATGGCCACAAGCCATTGGACCTCAGAGAGGCACTACAGACAGTTCATCACTTGAATGTGGTAAATAACAATTCCGTGAAAGATGTAGCTTTTATTGAAGAGTGTAATGTCATCAATCCAAAGAAAGAAGAACAGAAAAAAATCTTTCTTCAAATCGTACAAGGTCATAGAAGATGCCTTCCTAACAACAGAAATGCAAAAGTGACTAACCACACCAAAATCATATAATTATACTGTTGTACATGCAATAAGATAATAATGCACTTGAAATAAATCATTTATAATACATAACAAATATGTTTTTATATCACATAATACATATGATACCACGCCAATGAAGTCTAGAACTTCAACCTCATTGGGAAACCTCTAAATATGGTTCAAAATGGATGAAGATTGACATTTAATGCTTTTTTGTACACTGGAACAAAATTAGGTGAGAGCTTTGGAATATTTAACTTGAAATTTTATCTGCAAATAAGGGCCACCCTAATATAAATATACAAGGTGGAGCAAAAGTGACTATTTACGGTAGTTGTGTTTAGAACATGGTTTAATTTCTATTGACTTACTCTAAAACAAACAATTAACTTGATTTTTAGTTGTCTTCAAAATATTTTAGTACCAACAATATAGTAACTTTTGTCTCATCCTGTATATAAAATCACAACCTGCAGGCAGAGACATATTAATAGGTTGTCTTAGTTATGATCAAAGACTGAAACTGATTATACAAATAACAGTGCATTCTTGTGTAAACTTATTAAATGCAAATTACAATCTTGTTTTGATTTTTTAAGTAATTTGATTTATAACTTCTGATGATCATGCTGTCCATGCCCATTACAATAATTTTTTTCACTCAATTGCTGTAAATGAATGGAGGTCATTTGAAGTAAATTATTAAAAGAACTAGCAAAATTAGATTGTAGGTTTTGTTGTAATGAACGAAATTTTAGAAACTTCATTGAAGAATCTTGAAATGAAGCCTTTGATTCTTCATTTGCTTTCCAACTTCTTTAACTTGATTTTCATTTGAAATAATTTTCCTTCCACTGTCTTAAACACGGATGGTTCTTTTTTTTTTTCATTAGATATTTCAGGAAAAAACAGTGCTAGATTTTCCTCGTTATTCTACAACAAGATTTTTCCAAACAAGATTAGTGTGAAATGGAGCTCACTTATGTCTTTGCATAAAATTAAGACGTTTTCCACCTTTTCTTAAAACATTTTCCTTATTCATATAAATTATTTAGTGCTGATAATTACACTTACTCCTTAGTGAAAATTAAATGTATTTATATTTTCATTCTTTTGAGTAATATAGATTTACTTAAATATCAACCCCAAATTGGTAAACAATCGGATGTAGCTTTATTCATAACCTCTTTCCAATCTGACATCAAACAACCCATTTCACAGATTGATTATTCAGAAAAATAACTTGTGCGAGAAAAAGCTGCGACTTTATTTCAAAAGCTCGTAGATAACTAAAGAATTTAAGTCACTTTCACCAGATACATTATTTTTACAGAAATAAAGTAGGCTGTGTACTTTCTTCTTCTATTAACTCTATAAATCCTAGCGGACATGTCTGATAACATATATATATACCTCTTTGGCTGAAAACTAATTCAAATCATGTTATTATCCATCTTTTATAAATAGACCGGAAATTTTATAAGGTATGATGATAATTATTAGGACATCATGAAAATAATTTTAGCAGAATGTGCAAAAAATTATGGATTTAAAAAGTTAAAACACCTCCATGAAAATATTCATCCCACTACTACATGTTAATTAAATCATTTTTAATTCACTAGTGTGTCCTTTTCATAGCAAATCAATAACCTTTCTATAGTGAGTAAACTATTTCAAGAAAAAATATTAACTTTTATACAAAGCACAACTGTTAATAATAATTTTATATACATGAATATGTGATGTTTGAGTTGTTTTTAACTCGCCACAATAAACGAAAGTTTATATAGAATTTTAAGAATATGGATCATTTATGCTAGAAATTTTCTTTTAATTATTTAGCAGACAAGCTGTCTAAAATACTAACAATACACATGAAAGCACAATATAACAACTGATTCATCTCTTGTCACTGAAT